GAAGTGTAGGCTTAGAGTGGAATTCCAAAAACATAGGTTGTTCACCTATATGGATTGGCGGCATCCGTATCCGGATTTGCCTGTGATCTCGTTCTCCATAGAGCAGTTACAGGACGCTTGTGCCAGCACCTATGTATGGTTGGCGGCGTCCGGTTCCGCATTTAACTGTCACTGCGGCCTTCAAAGGAACAGCCACAGGACGTCTGCGTCTTCAAAGGGACGATGGGTAGCTTGCACTGCACCATCCAGAGTACCATCCACGCACTTCATATCCAGTGTAAACCCGAAGGAATAAGACCGGGAGGCATGTGGATGGGAGCCACGTTTCATCAACGGAGCCGGCCCACACTTCTTCACAGGCAAACAGAAGCACGCTGTATTTGGGGAATCAAGCGCGCACAAGGCGGTGGCTGGGCCGTAGTCCGCTCCACACTGAGTGCATGGCACCGCTCTTTGGCCTAGCACGGCCACAAGGCCCTTGCATCTCATCCCCTCCCGCAACGACTAACTGTCTCCTGGAGCCAGTGCGGACGATGTAGTGGGGGATAGACAGGTAGGCACCTTGTCAATATGCACATCAAGCGCAGGCACAACGGGGATAACAAACAACTAACACAGAAGTTGAGGGAAAGCAAACACGAAAAACTGACTCAGAAGATGCGGTAAAAGAAATGTACCGAACAAATCAAATAAAGTGGAATAAATTTTACCCAGATTCAAATGATCTGGTTTACACATGACTCGGTTTAGCCCAACTGCGGTGAAGATGCATGGTGTGTGCAATATCAAACAACATGAAACACGCGCCTCTCTCTCTCACGCTATATATATATATATATATATATATATATATATATTGGCCTTCTGCCTCCCGTGGGACGAATAAGTTGAAAGAGTTTGCGGAAGTTTCCTGATGAGGTTGCCCGCTCCATCTCAACGAAGCGATGTGTCCATCAAGCCTAGCGATCCCTCCTGAGGAGCTGTCTGAGTTCAGCAACTGGTTCTGCGTAGTGCGCTGTACTCAACTCCGGCGGGAATTGTTCGACAACTTTCCATTAATTGGAGAGACTG